AAAAAAAAAAAAAAAAGAAGTCAAGAGCAAGTCAAGAGCAAGTCAAGAGAAACATGGATAAAATCCTAGGCTAGTCTCACCGAAAACCTACCTGGAGTCACAGGCCTCAGCTTTGTTTTATCCCTCCTGCATCTCACTATCTGTTAGGATTTGCTGGAAACGCCCAGGATGTTTAGGTGTGGTGCCCCCTGAAATGTTTCTTCCTTCAGGAGGGTGGGAAAGAACATACACTTCATTGTCTTTTCAGCCAAAAAGAAAAAAAAAAATTCCCTCTGGCCTGAAGCAATTAAAAAAAAATCCACGTGATGTACCACCCCAGGACCCTAGAGATTAGACACAGAAACCCAGGTCACGTCCCAGAAGGGAAGAGTAAGAGAGGAAGAAATCTTTTCAGGGATTGATAGGGTGAATGACTGGAAGTTTCTACAATGGAAAAAAAAAAAGGCTGGGTTATCATTCCTGTCTTTGCTATTATTGTTGTTGTTATCAAAAACATGTAAATAGTGCTCTTAAATTATTGTCCCTCTTAAACAATAAAGGTGATAATGGAGACTTCTTTGGACTTTTGCATACCCAAAGAGAATATTGTTATTCACCAGCAGCTTCGCTTTAAGGAACCCAGCAATGACTGTGGGAGCCAGACAATTCCAGGGGAAGGTATAGGTGTGTTGTTTGAGTGACTGAAGAGGGTCAGAGGGCCTTTTAAAGAAATGGTTCTGGCCAGGTGCAGTGGCTCATGCCTGTAATCCAATCACTTTGGAGGCCAAGGCGGGCGGATCACCTGAGGTCAGGAGTTCAAGACCAGCCTGACCAACATGGTGAAACGCCGTATTTATTTATTTATTTATTTATTTATTTTTTTTTTTGAGACTGAGTTTCACTCATGTTACCCAGGCTGGAGTGCAATGGCGCGATCTCGGCTCACCGCAACCTCCGCCTCCTGGGTTCAGGCAATTCTCCTGCCTCATCCTCCTCAGTAGCTGGGATTACAGGCACGCGCCACCATGCCCAGCTCATGTTTTTGTATTTTTAGTAGAGACGGGGTTTCACCATGTTGACCAGGATGGTCTCGATCTCTTGACCTCGTGATCCACCCGCCTCGGCCTCCCA